AATTAAGGCCTTATTTTTGGATTGATGAATTCAATGCCTTTTAAGACTTTTTAAAGATCTGCAGGAACCCTGTAGAAAAATGTTAACAACTCATGTAAAATGTGGAGATCACGGTTCATTCAAACATGTTAAAATGAGTGAATGGGTTGAATTTTTTATTGTGTAAACAGCTGAACTAATTTTAATGTAAATACAGTCATGGCCGAAAGTTTTGGCATCCCTGAATTTTTCCCAGAAAATTAAGTATTTCTCCCAGAAAATTATTGCAATTACACACGTTTTGTTGTGCACATGTTTATTTCCTTTGTGTTTATTAGAACAACACAAAAACAGAGGGAAAAAAAAAGGCAAATTTGACATAATTTTACACAAAACTCCAAAAATGAGCCGGACAAAATTATTAGCACCTTTTCAAAATTGATGGTAAATAACTTTGTTTCAAGCTTATGATGCACATTCAAACTCACCTGTGATAAGTAACAGGTTTGGGCAATTAAAAAAAAAATCACACCTGAAACCAGATAAAAAGGAGAGAAGTTTACTCGATCTTTGCATTGCGTGTCTGTGTGTGCCACACTAAGCATGGAGAACAAAAAGAGAAGAGAATTCTCCGAGGACTTGAGAACCAAAACTGTGGAAAAACATCAACAATCTCAAGGTTACAAGTCCATCTACAGAGATCTTGATGTTCCTTTGTCCGTGGTGCGCAACATAATCAAGAAGTTTACAACCCATGGCACTGTAGCTAATATCCCTGGACGTGGGCGAGAAGAAAAATTGATAAAAGGTTGCAACTCAGGATAGTCCGGATGGTGGATAAGCAGCCCCAATCAAGCTCCAAAGAAATTCGAGCTGTCCTGCAGGTGCAGGGTGCATCAGTGTCAGCTCGAACTATCTGTCGACATTTGAATGAAATGAAACGCTATGACAGGAGACCCAGGAGGACCCCACTGCTGACACAGAGACATAAAAAAAGCTAGACTGCAGTTTGCCAAAATGTATGTAAGTAAGCCAAAATCCTTCTGGGAAAACGTTTTGTGGACAGATGAGACCAAGATAGAGCTTTTTGGTACTGTTTACAGAAAATGAAATGAGGCCTACAAAGGAAAGAACACAGTACCTACAGTCAAATATGGTGGAGGTTCAAAGATGTTTTAGGGTTGTTTTGCTGCCGTTGGAACTGGCTGCCTTGACTGTGTGCAAGACATCATGAAATCTGAAGATTACCAAAGGATTTTGGGTCGCAATGTAGGGCCCAGTGTCAGAAAGCTGGGTTTGTGTCATAGGTCATGGGTCTTCCAGCAGGACAATGACCCCAAACACACTTCATAAAGCACCCAGAAATGGATGGAAACAAAGTGCTGGAGAGTTCTAAAGTGGCCAGCAATGAGTCCGGATCTAAATCCCATTGAACACCCGTGGAGAGATCTTAAAATTACTGTTGAGAGAAGGCACACTTCAAATATGAGAGACTTGGAGCAGTTTGCAAAAGAAGAGTGGTCCAAAATTCCCGTTGAGAGGTGTAAGAAGCCTGTTGATGGTTTTAAGAAGCGAGTGATTTCAGCTATTTTTTCCAAAGTGTGTGCAACCAAATACTAAGTTGAGGGTGCCAATAATTTTGTCCGGCCCATTTTTGGAGTTTTGTGTAAAATTATGTCAAATTTGCTTTTTTTCCTCTGTTTTTGTGTTGTTCCAATACACACAAAGGAAATAAACATGTGTATAACAAAACATGTGTAACTAAAATAATTTTCTGGGAGAAATACTTAACTTTCTGGAAAAAATTCAGGGGTGCCAACACTTTCGGCCATGACTGTACTATAATTAACTGAACTCACAATCCTAAAGGAATGAAAACCTCTTCAAGACTTTCRCACATGTCAATCATGTTCAATGATTAATAAATTCATTTGGACATGAATAAGCCTCATGCTTTTACTTCCTCAAAAGATACAAGCATACAGCACTAGAAACTAAACACAAAAACTAAGAAATGCATTTAAAAAGACATACCTTAAAGTTGGTGAGTTCAGAATCCTTCTGTTTTAGAATATCTGRCATGTAATCAATCAGATGGAGACCAAAGGCATTTTTGGTGGTAATTTTCTGTAAAAAATATATTTATTTGAGAAAGTTTGTGATAAGGAAGTTTTGAAAAAACTTTTGAAAAACGTTTTGAAGTAGTTTTTTCCTCCTAGCCTAAAACAAACAAAAATAAAAAAAATCTTTTTTCTCTTTTCTTCCCATTAGTGCCCACATGGACCAACAGATGTTCAGTAGCCCATGCACAGATGCATGAAGAATCTGTAATATTCGGACTTTTCTGCACATTATAGTTAGGCCTACATTCTGCTCTGCTGTTCATCTTTCTTGACACTGATTGCAGAGGTCAGTGGGATGTTCACTTATAGCAAAAAGTGCCTCATTTCAGTGTCAATCCTTAACATGTTTGTTATTTCCCATGACACGGCTGTTCCTCATCGAAACCTTCCTAATTTATTTTCCTGTCATTCTTTTCAAGTTTCTCCAGAATATCAAAAGGTACATGTTTGGTAAGATCGTTTGTGTTAAAAAACAAACAAACAAACAAACAAACAAACAAACAAACTAACTAACTAACTAACTAACTAACTAACTAACTAACTAACTAACTAACTAACTAACTAACTAACNGCTTTAAAATGTTTTATCTTTAATTATTAGAAGCCAAGATACAATTTGTTTCACCGTTTAGTTGAACAAAATTAAACTTGATTGGCGTAACTTTTGCTTTTCTGTCAAGCAAAGATAAATTTTAAAAAGCTTTTAGTAAAACTACAGCCTTTTTTGACATAAGAAAAGCAATGTCTTGTAAAACAATAAAGATAAGAGAAGATTAAACTCCGTAAACATATGAAGGAAACTACTGAAAGCAGAGGGAGAAAAAAAAACTGACAAAAAACTCTGAGATGAATCATTTTTCACTGGATCCGTCTGTCATAAGAAGTTTTCAGCTAATAGTAATAATGCTTTATTTAAAAAAAACAAGCCAAAAGTAATTTATGCCTGTCACAATATTTTGGCTTCTGCATTTTTTTTAAATGACTAAAAAGAAAATGATAAACCACCTGTTTTTTAGCTACTTGTAACAAGACCCTAAACAATTGTGTGTCTGTGTTGCATTTTCTGTTCTGTGTTGACATCCTCTTTTAACTTCTGGATGATTTATATGTCAGAGTTTCATAAACAAATAAGACCAAAAACATACATTGAACTAAATAAAGAGAGATCCATTTTAAAACTATAATGTGTCACTTCACAGCTTTCTTGAAATCAAATCTTTAAATATTTAATAAAGAATCCAGGTTTTTGTGCAGTGTGTGTCCACATTAAACAAACCACTGAATGGCTCACACAGTGAAGTTTTCTTTTCTTTCCTTTGTACAGATGTATTCTGATACATTTTTTCTTTATTATGTCTGTATGCGCGCACACAAACACACACAAAACAAAGACTTACATTTTCAGTGGACAGCTTTATGCAGGTGGAGTAGTGCTCTGAAATCTGAGCATTGGACATCTTGGGTACAGCAGCAGGAGTCCCCACAGCACTGCACACAAAAGGCAAGGCATCAGTCTTCACACATGGCAGCCAGAGGCAGACTGGCTCTGTGTGGTAGAGGTTGCTTTACTACAGTCCCCCTGACAAAAATGATGGAATCGCCTCTCTTGGAGGAAGTTCTGTCAGATGTTTGACTTTGGTGAAACAACAAACTATCATTTTTCAAAATGGAAACAGTTTGGCATTAAGAAATAAAACTTTTTTCCATCACAGCTTATTTTCTTTTTAAATCAAGTAGAAGAAAAAATAGAGAATTGTGAGGAAAAACTGCCCTATTAGTTTTTTGTTGTTTTAACATGTAAAATTCTCTGAGGCATGGACTTCACTGATGATAAACAGTATTCTGCATCAGTCTGGCTCCAACTGTCTCTTATTGCTGCTGCCAGATCAACTTTGCAGGTTGGAGCCTTTTCAATAGCTAGGTTTACATGGACATACAGTAAGTAACCAAACTAAACGGCAAATTGGAATAAAAATATGTCATGTAAACACCCCAATCAAAATATTCTGGTCTGATTCAGCTCGATCGAAATGAATTTGTAATCCAAATAAGAGAGGTGGTTTAAGCTGACTGATTTGAAGGGCGTGCATGTAAATTTAATCTGATTGTGTTATTCTGTTTGTGGAAAACTGAACTGACTGCGCACAACTTCTGACCTTCATGTGAAGGGAGAGACAGCAGTGCCATAGATAGGCCTGTCACGATAACAAATTTTGCTGGACGATTAATTGTCTCAAAATTTATTGCGATAAACGATAATATTGCCTGGTGACCGTTTTACAACTAATAATT